ACAAATTCTCCTCCCCAAAAAAGAAGAAGAGCTACAACAAAGCCAACACCTTGCACACAGCTCCTCTGCCTTCTTCCACCTCTCCATGTCAGCTCTGCTGCCCTGTCCTTACCTCTGTTCTCTCATCTTCCCTCTCTGCAAGATGAAACACCTCCTGTCCTATCCCTTCCACTTTAGACGCTTTTAGATTGTGTCTGAGTTGCTGTGCATTTCTATCCATTCCAGGAGCAGCATCTTGGAAGGATGGAATCCTTTCAACTCAAAGTGAATGGTGATAGACAAAAGGTGTTGTTGTTTGTTGTTTTTTTAAATTAGATTTGGGCTTATTTTACTTAAAGTTGGCTGATTGGTGTATTTTTGTGATTTAGATTTCAAACTCCAGATCACATCAAAAACCTGTGAGTGTGGCTGTGAATTTACTGCCCAATCGAGGGAGCATTGAAAAATTGAAATGGTTTTATTTTGAAATATAAGAAAAGTTTTCCTTTACCACTAGGTTTCTAAAATGTGAAGAGAGAGTTCTCTTGGCTGACAATGAAACTGTTTAAATTCATAAGCTGTGGGACAGGGTAGAGGCTGCTGTAGTTTCCTTCCATCGACAATGATCACTGCTTGAATTGGCAGAGGAAGAAGTGTTATGATGATGAGAACTTGTCTCATTGTTGTGATTAGCTGTTACCAAAGTCTAATTACTGCGCGTGATGCTAAAATGTGGAAGCTGCTGACAGTTAGAGATAAGGAGATGAAAAGAAAGCAACTCATTCCAAGAGGTTATTCTGGTGGGTGTTTTTTCATTACTATTGTTATTTTTATGCACTCTCTCGAGTGCTGCTTTAGAGCACGTGGGTGAAGTCGTGGTTTTGAGTGTCAAAGCTGCCATTGGACTTCAGCTGTGGTTAAACAAGCTTTGAGCACCAAAGGGCTAAATTAAATAAGGGTTAGTGAAAGGTGGTAACAATTTAATGGTACAAGATCTGCTAAGTGAATGCATTGTTATTAGCTATTAATTTGGTTGCTGTAAGCAGGATCCAAATGGGATTGAGAAGAGGGTAAAGCTTGGGAGCCTGGTTCCCACAGGACTCAGACATGGGACAGTGCTGTTTCTGTGACGTTGGCTGCCTCAGAACTGGCTTTTCCACAGAAAAGTAGAGGTTTTCCCACTGTCTTCATCCAGAAATCTCCTTTGCTGGGAGACAGGTTGCTCTTTTCCAGCTTTGAGACATCACGTTAGGGACATGGTCTTCAGAAGTTTTGCAGAGCATCACCTGAGCTGTTGGAGGAGCTGAGCTCCCCGGGGAGTCCTGTCATAACTACTGTGCTGACTTTAGAAAATGGTTTGGGATCCTCTGGGATGACAGATGCTTGTGTATGCACATGTAACATGCTGTTAATAATTAGAGCTGATTGGATATTCAGTACAAATTACACTGGCTATGGAGTTAGCCCCTTCTTTAGGCTTACAAGTGGCTCACAAAACACTGTTAAAGCATATTTTTAAATGTATGTTTTGACATAAACATTGACAGATTTAATTTAAACAAATAATGTCGAGTCTGAGTGTTTTAAAATCTCTTGCTGGGCTCTTCACTGTCACTTGTTAATGGTGCACGTTTGGATTTCTGAGTCACAGGGTAAATATTTTCTCTTTTAGATTTCTAGGATTAAACATGGATTTTGATGATAATTTTAAATGCCAGTCCCTTTCTAATGGTGTGTCTGCCCCCACACCCAGGCCCACGTGCCATGTCTTCAAAAATAACTGTTCAGAGAAGAGAATTAGGTCTGACTGCACCCATCAAACACGAGGAAAAGGGAGTATTTCCTTTTCCCCTTAATCTCCATTCCACCTGGAAGCTGGGTTGGAGCTTCCTTTTGCTGTTCATCATGCTGAGTTGGGTTGTTTGCCAAACCTCTGTGTCCTTGGGTGAATCTGAAGGAAGAGCTACGATTTTTTAATTTATTGAACATTGACTCAAACCAAATCTGCCTCTTGTGGAGAAAAAAGAAAAGTTCAGCCTCAGGACCTTCATTTCCCATATTCTGAAAAAGAAACCACATGCACAGATTCAGATTTTCCCTTTGTATGTGTTCATGAACTTGCAGGGCTCCTCTAAACACCATGTGTTGCAGAAAAACAGTCCAACAACCACGGCTGGTTTGAAAAGTCACTAATGATTTTGGTGCAACCATGTCTGAAATACTTTAGAGAAGCCTGTTTTTCTGCTGTGGAACAGCTCTCCAAGGACTGTTTGAAGTCCAGCCTTGCTCGTTGCTAGAGGAACTGAAAAGGAACAAAACTCAGACAGAATCGTGTATTTCTCTGTAATTGGTGGAGGGATGGTAACATCTGGGCTAGGTTCTTGTTGAGGAGAAGCAGCTCACACTTGCAGCACCTATATATCCACTTCATCCACTTTGTCACATCCATCACAAAAAGATGTAACCCTTTGCAGCAGGCCTGAAATAAACCTCACACAAAACAGTGATGTGCAGTGCCACAAATAAAAGCTGTTCTCACGTATACAGCCCACACGTGGCTCTCTCTGCTTAGCAGTTAACAGCTTTGGAAAACACACATTTTGTCTGGAGAAAAAAACTCAAAACAAACCCCCCAAAAACCCAAAGCAACCCCCACAAAGTAGCAGCATTCTTCAGGAGAAATGCCAGAGAGGGTAGGATGGGAGCAGGGCTGATTATCCTTTTCCTGCCCACCTACCTTTGCATTTTTGCTTCTCACTCTCTCTCTCCCCCATTCCTCCTCTTTTAATATAAAATAGTCCTGCAGTATATAGAGCATAAGAATAATTTCTCTAGCAGAGCCTGCAACCTGCTGGAGGAGCTTCCAGCCCCCATTAGAGGCTCTTTCCAGAAGAAGGGTTTTCCTTCTCCCTATAAATGATGCATCAGTGTACTTTTAAGCTTCTGAGATGATGAGCAGAAGATGAAAGCATTGCAGAGTGTTGCTGCTCCTATGGAGCTGAACCCACGACGTTGTATACAGGCTTGAACACACCTTGTTAAGACAAACCTGCACATGTTGCTGTCTTAGTACTCTGGCTGTAAAAGCATGAAGGTGGGAGTTCTTCTGACTTCTCCAGCCTTGGCTCTGGAAGAAAGTCTTCTCCTCTTGGAAGGCAGTGAGGGGAAAGATAGCCATGTGTGTCCAAAGTGGTCTTCCCAGATTGACTCTGCCAGCCTGAGCCGGGGTGATTCCTGGTCTCCCTTGCTCTGGATGTGTCTGGAGACCTTCCAGATTCACCTGTTGAGATCTGGAAGTGCTGGGTGATGCTTTATGCCTGTTCTCTTACCCCAAAGCTGACAAGACACCCAGCCTGGGGCTTGTAAGGGACTGACCTGCCAAATTGAGCAAAACAATTCAGTCAGCTAAAGAGGACTTGAGCTAAACAACTGGTGCTTCCAAACTGGAATAAGGATGTGTCATTCTGAACCTCAAGTGTGTGATGCTTGAGCAGGAGGAATGTGTTGGATGAGTGGAACTGCTGCATCCAGCAGCAGGTCCATGCAGAGCTGCTTGGCTAACTTGAAACTCCATGTCATAGCTCAGCATATGAATGATGCTGTTGGCTTCTGCAACAAAAATAGACATGCAGATGTATAAAAATTAAAAAAACACCACACTTTTTTTTTAGCACAGATGAGGTTTTTAAGTGCCTTTGCACAATCTGCCCTTGGTGTGTGGTTTCCATCTAGTGTAACAAGTGATTAAGGGTACAGCTTCTGGGGAATGGATATTAAATATGTAATGTAATTACATACTGAAAAAAAAATAATAAATAGTGCTTTCAGGTTATATGTGGCCTGTGGAGATAGATGAAGAATATAATCAAATGTGCATGTATATTTTAGAGAATTTTGTGCTGCTGCCACAGTTGAAGTTATGCAGGAGGGCATCCTTTCGTTTTGTCATGCCAGGGAGTACAGGGAGAATTTTGAAGTCTATACTTGGAATCTAAAAGTGTCAGTAAAAATTAATAATAATTCCTGAAAAGGGAAAAATTGGGGAATTTTAGGTAAAACTGTTGTGTGTCACAGATGAGAAGTGTAAAAAGTAAAAAATGCATCTTGTGATTTGTCTGAATTCTTATCATGCCCAGTGCTGTGGGAAGAGCTTCCAGACCTGAGGTTCCTGTGGACCATCCCAGGGCAAATCAAACACTACTGTGGTGCCTGAGTTGAAGTGAATCAGGAACCGTGAAAGACCTCCATGGGGTTCTGGCATCAATGAACTTGTGCTTATTCTGTGTTTCTTCCATGGTCACTTAAAATGACAGTGAAGCCTCCCAGTCACTTTGCACATCAAGAGCTGTGTGTTTGCACAACTGTGGGTGCATCTTCATTCCTTCCAGTTTTATTTTAAGGTCTGATTACTCACTTCTACCCAAGTTAACCCACTACTGTTTGTTCTTTGGAGAAAGCAGTATTGTGCACCTTTCCTTTCCTCTCCTTCATAAAAGTTGTCTTTTAGGGAGAGAACAGTTTTTGCTTTTTAAATGCAACATCCACCCTAAAAGAACCTGTGTCTTAAAGCAGGCCATGGAGCCTTTCATCACTTCTCAGGGTGATAGCAGTCATGAATGTTTTATTTTCTGCAGGGTGCACTCCAGATCTGCCACAGCATTGTGTGGGTGCACACATATAAAAGGGCTACTAATTGAAATTCAGATGAAATGAGCTGAAGTTTTGCTGTTCACCACGACTGCCTTTTGTTTTAGCCCTTGTATGCTCAGTGCACCTAAACAATGCAACCATTGCTTCTCCTTTTAGGTTCGACAAGAATAACTTAAAAGGCAGGAAGTATTTCCATGTCTGCTCTAGAGGTGAAATATTCCCCCAAATGGGAATGGCTTGTGTTAGTTTATTTACTTACTTACTCACTCATGGGGAGAGATACAGATTTTGATGGAACAGGAAAGAAAATAGACAACTTGCTGCTATAAAGTGCTCTCTTTTGATGATGCAAATGTGTTTCTATTGCCTAGGTAACTATTATGGAACACCCAAGCCTCCCAGCCAGCCCCTCAGTGGGAAAGTGAATTCCCCCGATGCTTTGCAAAACCTGCAGTCTGGCTCCAAGCAGTCGACTCCAAAGAGAACCAAGTCCTACAATGATATGCAAAATGCTGGCATAGTGCACCCAGAGAATGAGGAAGAGGATGATGTACCTGAAATGAGCAGTAGCTTCACAGGTAAAACGACAATATCACCGTCCGTCAGTTCTGATACGATGGGGAAAATTTATGGAGGGGTTGGGTTTTTGGTTTGAGTGGGTTTCTTGCAAAGCTGTAGATCCCAGACAGAGCTGGGCAGCAACACTGGGGTGCCAGGTGTCTGTGTGTGGACCATCACACGCACAGTTGTCTCTTCTAAAAAGGCCAGGTGGGATTGAGCTTGATGAGAAGAAGCTGTGGAAAAGTTCAAATCCATTAGCTGCAGAAGGGTGAAGGAAGAGCTGAGCTACAGTGACTGTTCAGTCATTATAAACACTGTGAAATAGCTCAATCTGAACACATTTGAAATGAATGATTGCTCCTTCCAAAGTATGTTATTGTCTTTTCCTCTTCCTTGCCTCTAGAGATACCCATCCCATACAATTACTAGGTCTTCTTCTCCAAGGTACCTTCCAGCCAACCAAGAGCTGCTTGCTGCAGGAATGAGGTCTGAAGCATGGGTGCCAAGCTCTTCATTTTTGTGAAGGTCTTGTGTCCTGCTCAACAGAGATCCCAATCCCACTGTGGCTTCGATCCATCATTAGCTGAAAGATTACAGAAAGCTTTTACAACCTAAAGTCAAGTGCTGTGCAGGCAGATCCAGAGCAAAATACTATTGGAGATCAGTTGAATTTCTACAGAAATGAACTGGAAGTTTGTGAAGCTCTGAGGGGCAAGAGCTTTTCCCCATGTTTGCAATCCCAGTATTTGCTAATGCTTAGGGCATTTCTTCCTCAGCCCAGTTTCAAGCACTGAATTAATCTTCCTAACTCCTTGGAAGTAGGTACTTAGCAAGCAGCATTATCCACACCTTCAAGGCTTTCACAGCAGCTTGCTGTGGATGCTCTCTCCTTCACTGGCACTGGGTTCTTTATCCTCTGGTCACTTCCTACCACCACAACAATTTTCCTTCCCAGTCTGGATGAGTCTTAGGAGCTGTCATGCCATTTCCTATCTGCCAGAGTTCTGGCTCTAAAAGATGTATTGAGCTTTAAAAGGATTTAGGCTTGTATTTAGTTTTGATCCTCTCCAAGCCAAAGTGTCCTATGGCTTGTTGTGCTCTGGTTGGCTGTTACCTGTTACATATTTTCAATCTGAGTCACTCCTGCCTGGCCTGATCCCTCCCAGGCTGGAGTTTCTGCCACTGCTCCCCAGTTCTGTTACAAAGTTTTGCACTGGGTGTAGTTTCTTACATATTGTGACAGGGCAGCAACCTCAGCCCTTGTCACAGGATCTCATTTTGGTGGAAGGCTGGTGGGAGATGCTGTTTGACCTCCTTGCTGCCTGTCTCAGTTTGGTGTCCCTGACCTCACTTGAGCATCATTTCTCTTCCTATTTTTCCTTCACAAGTTGAAATACTGGAAGATGCATCTTATTTGTCACAACGTTATCACACCCTGGCCCCTTGCCTCCATGAGATGGGCACAGAATCAAGAGAAGAGTTCTTTCCTTATGCTTGTTTCATGTGTAAGTGTGCTAGCCATATTAAAATGCTCCTGCTTCCTGAGAAGACCTCTTGGTGACTTGTGTTTTCCAGACTTTGGCATGTTTACACTCGCAGTCTTGAGCTGGCGATGACTCATTCATGCTTTTTTATCTTGTCAGCTTCTACCTAAAAATATCAAATGCCAGGAAGGCTAGAAAGCAGGCAGCTGAGGGTGCTGGTGTAGTCTGAATCTTTTTCTTCCCTCTTCTCTCAGTTTCTAATTTTCAGTATCTTGTCTTTTCCTAAAAGCAGCATACAGAGTAGCAGGAGCTGCAGTTAATGGCCCCTAAAAAAGCCAAGGCTGTGGCTGTGAGTTGAGGATGTGAGTGTTCCCCAGTCTGGAGAGCAGAGGTGAGGTCTTGGCTGTGAAGCTCTTTCAGGTTTCACTACTTGGAGTCTTGGCAGAGTGTGACACTGATCTCTTTGTCTTTTGCTTGGTGTGCTGCCTGTCATCTGTACTGCAAACTGGTGGTTTCAGGTGTTTTGAAAGTACTGCCATCAATTTTCAACACCTTCAAGAACCAAAGAGAGAAAATCCTTTTGGTAGACACAGGAGTAATATTAGAATTTGTCTGTTGTTGCTGAAATCTCTCTGTGAAGGAGTTTGGGGCACAGCCCTGGTTTGTGGAAAGCATTTACTGTGGTTAGGAGTGGAGGGAATGAGCAGTAGTGTGTCATGGATGCAGCTCAAACATGTATGGGTATAAGCATCACAAATACTTCCATAGACAGAGAAGGAATGCATCATAAAATATTCCTGAGTGACTTTGACTGGAAAGATGTAGTGATGAGCTGTGGAATAAACCTCCTCAGACAGCTAGAACAGGCATCAGTGAGCAGCAACATGTGGACACAAAGTGTAGTGCTGGCACCCATTTTCATGTTTGAATTGAAAGAAACGCACTGCAGTAAAGATGTTCCCCATTAGCTTGTTGGCTTTGAGCTTCTGACTTCCTTCTGCCTTTGTGAAAACCTCCCCTTTTGATCATTCAGGAGATTTTATTCTCCTAATCCTTTTCCCACAATTGGCACCGTGGGAGTGAACCTGTAAGCCTGCTCAGAAGCCCATTGAACTCATCTCCATTAGTGAGCCCTGGCCTCAGACAGCTTGGAAGACTTTGGTGCCTCAGCAGGGCCTAAGAGAGCAAACCCAGGAGCTGATCACAGCTCCTGATTCGTGCTGGCCAGGGCCTGGCTGGCAGGGGGTGGGTGGGCAGAGCAAGCTCATTCCTGCCGGCAAAAAGACTGGCAGAGTCTCTGCCCTCAGCTCAGCTGTTGCTGTGTCTCGCAGATTGAAAAGCGAGGAGAGGAAAAACTGTGAGGAGGAAACGCGGGAGAAGCGAAGGGGAGGAGGAAACTGATTTTCAATTGAATTTGTGTTTCTTGATTCTACAGCAGAGTCTGGTGACCAAGAGGAGCACAACTCACATATCGTAAGAGAGACAGCCCCGCCGTCCGTGCTTGAGAGCCACACCAACCTTCCCACCACGGAACCATCTCAGAGCCTCCCTCAATACCTACCTCCTTCTGCTGAGGACAACCTAGGTCCTCTGCCGGAAAACTGGGAGATGGCCTACACTGAGAATGGAGAAGTCTATTTTATAGAGTAAAGCACATTTGTTGTTGTTCTAATTCTCTCTCTCCCCTTGCCTCTCTGGGCAGAAGTTGAACCCTCACGGATGCATTGGGTGTGTGCATTAAATATTGAGTGTGTGCAGAGCTACGTGGCAGAGCTGGAAGTTCTTTGCTGCTTCCAAAAGGCTTTTGCATTTCTTGATTGGATTAACATCCAAATTACTCCTGAGTTCAAAGGCAGGGGGAATGGCTCATTTTATGAAGGTACTTACAAAACCAATGGACACTTATAAAACATGAGCCAGTTCTTTTCACGGGTGGAAGGAAAGCTCCTAATTGAAAGGGCTGAGGCTTCATTTCTGGAGCCTGCCTCTGTGCATAATGCAGGAGGGAGAATTCCATGGGCTCAGGCAGCAGCAGAGCCAGGGAATGGACTTTGTGTGTTGTGCTCTCATCAGAGCAAATGGGCCAAACGTGTTAACATGCTCCAGTGGGTTTGCAGAAGGCAGAGCTCAGTGCAGGGCAGGCACAGTAAGTCTGGAAAAGCAAGAAGTACCTCATGCTCTGCAGACTTTACCTAAGAGCTGAGTGCTGTCAGCAGTTTTATGATGATATTGATTTTTTGATGCCATAAATAATAGTCTCTAATTATACTTGTCTAGATTTATTGAGATAGGAGTAACTTATAAAATGGGACCTATTAGTGGAAGAGATTTCTTGCACAGAGTTTAGCTAGGCATTAAAATTCAATTAGCTTTTGAAATTCAAGCCTTTAGTTGTCCAAGTAGAGGAAGGGGTGAAGAATTGATTTTGGATTTGATGGTTTGTTTAATGCAGTCTTGGGAGCTGAGATCCTCTGCCTGTGCCCTGGAAGCCAGTGGCCAGTTTGTACAGAAGAACCTCCTCTGCTAGTGCCCCTTCTGCTACTCAGGAGAATTTATAGTTGATTGGGACAGCTGGGGCACCAGTCCTGCTCTGTCCTGAGGAGAGGGAACTTTTGGACAGGGCCAAGGCAAGGTTCATTAGAGCAGGTTTTCCCTTGGCTGCAATGTCAGGGGAACACATCAGAGAAGAGTGCCAGGAGATCTGAGGTGCTGGGAGGACTGAGAGCTCTGCAGCAGCTCTTTACCAGCTGGGAGAGGGCTGCTGGAAAAAGACCATTTTCCAGGGCACTCTCAATTACCTGGAGAGGCTTCACCAACCCCCTAGTGTAAGCCAAAGTCTAGAAGGCACAATGCAAATTCTCATCAGCTGCATGTCTGATGAAACTGAAATGTGTTTGTTATCCCCAACACAGTTTTCTGCCCCTCATCATCTCCTCAGGGGGCCTCATTCTTTGACATACTTTCTGGCTTTAATGTATATAACACAGCCTGAGCAATCCAGCCTGCCATTTTCTTCCTTGGAGGAGGATAGATGAGCACTAAATGCTGCCCAATCACCCTATTTTTGTCCCCACCTGGGCCCCTCCTGTCCATCCTTAGAGGTGCTTCAGCAGGGGGTTCTGCTGCTGCCACCGATTTCCCAAAACCCATCCCCATCACTGCTGTATTCTCTGTACACTTGTGTGCTCTTAGCAGTGTAGGACTGGAGCACCTTAAATAATATATTAGACCTTTTGCAGGCGAATCCTGAATGTGCTGGGAATATGTAGCTTGCTCACAGGGCTGTCTGACAGGCAGGGCTGGTAGCACAGCAGCTGCTTCCCTCCCTGCCCTGCAGGTTGGCCAGTTGAGGCTGCACGCACATAAGGGGTGATTTTGTGTGAGAACGTGTTGGTGTGGATGCAGCACTGAATGACTGCAGTTCTATCAATCCTAAGGACACCCTGAGCCTAGAAACAATTTACTTTGATTTGTAGCAAATAAAAGAGCAAGCTAATGAGCTGTGTGGACCCCAGGCTGGCTCAGATCCTGTACTGTCATCGCGTGCACTTTGGGTTATTGAGGCAGGGTGCTGAAGGGAGCAGTCTGGGAACTTCTGAGCTGCTTACACAGAACCAGCACAGGTCCAGTGGGGCCAGAGCTGCATGTCAGATAACCCTTGTAGCTGAAGCCATTTGGCTCTTGAGGCATGTTTCTCTGGTGCTTTAATTGGGATTTTCATTACCCCAGGTACCCGAGGCCCTCATTACCGTACGTTTAGATCCGTGCGTGTTACAGGTCTCACACAGTTCTGTCCCTCTGAGTGTATGATCTGAAAGGTGGTTAGCTGAATTTTCCGTGCCTCAGCAAACCACACTGTTGTGAGCCTTTGGTGAGTGAGACAAAGTTGCAAGAACTATGCAAATACCTCGTTGCTCTCCTCCCACCACCCTCTTTTCCTGCTAGACGACAGACTTTCTTAGTTGGCAGATCTGCTCTGCTTTATTGCTGTTAATTTGCCTGACTTGCTAAATGTCTGCCATTCAGTTTTCTAGTTGGTGATTAATTACTCTAAAGCATAACAGAGGGACTAAATGCGTTTGCTTATCCTGCCTTGGGAGGGCTTGGATAGCAGGATGTGTAAAACAAGGGCTTTGTATTTGCACACTCAGATCCTAGAAGCAGGGCAGTTCCCTCTTCCTGCAATAAAATACACATTTGCTGGTCAGTTCTTAGTTCCTCAGACATCATAGTCCTCATTACAGCATTTCCCACTTCATGAGACTGGGAAGGTTAAGTTTGTAACCCTCTCTGAGCCCTTGAAGGAGAAGTAAATAGCATTACTACAGTGTTGGAACTTAAAACTGTTAAGCCGTGTTAAAGGCTAAGCTGGGTAGGTGACACCTCAGGGACTGGAGGGCTGTCTTTGCAGGTTTAAGATGGCACCAGGTTGTAGAAGCACATTATGTTACAAGATTGTCTTCGTCTGCAAATGAAATGATGGGAGAAAATGGCTAGAAAATGGATTTTAAGCCTGTTTACTCTGCAGCCTTCACCACCAGGACTGGCCTCGCGATACTCTCAGGGGACTTGTAGGAAGGAAGAGTGGAAAGCAAATCTGTTCAGCTTCCATCAAAGGCCTTGACAGAGCATTTTTTTTGTGCAATTAAGAGTTTTCATTAGAAATTCTGGTTTTGCCTAAAGGTTGGGTCAAAGCTAGACAAATGTCAAAGGTCTTTTGTAGGAGCAAAGGTGACTGCAGGATTTAGAGAAGAAGGGAAAGTTCTGTCTTTTCATCAGGAGGCAAATAACTTAGAGACAGCTCTTGGAATTAAGAAACAAACAACTGAAGAGAAAAGTTTGGAAATTAATATTATAATATTGCAGGTTTCACATGCATCCTTCCACTCAGGAATGCTGATTTGTATATTTTCACTTTTCACCTTTGTGTTTTCGATGCCAAGATCTTTGTGATTTGGTAGCCTGGTTTGCAAAACTTCAAATTGTAATGTAATTTCTTCTGAAGCAAAAGTATGCCTTCAGGTCTCTTGAATAGTAAAGAGGATATCTACTTTTCACTGATACTTCAGCTGTGCTTTATTAACAAAGGTAATATTTCCATTTTTGGTTTCCAGCCATAACACAAAAACAACATCTTGGCTTGATCCACGGTGCCTGAACAAACAGCAGAAGCCTCTAGAAGAATGTGAAGATGATGGTAAGAGAACACAGTGAATGAGGAATGTATTTGGTCCATTTCTAGATGGCTTTCTTCCTTTCCTTTTCCCCTTTCCAATAACCTATGTTCAGAAATACTTGAAAAACAACCAACCAAACCAAAGTGTAAGTGCATCAAGGCAATACCTGTGATGTTGTAAAATCACTGTCTGTGTATGTAAGATAGCCATTGAGATGGCAGATGATTTAATAAAAATCAGAGGTGCTGGAAGTAAAAGGCCTCTGTTTCTTCAAAGACATTTGAGTAGCCACTGATGCTGAACAAGACTCAAAGCTTTCTAACATGTTTGCTCCTTGGATTACTGTGTAGGAGGAAAGCGACTGAGTCTCTGCCTGCTCCATTGTGTGATGCTTTAACCACAGGAATTGAAAGAGTTATATTGTTATTTCTTTGTTTGAGCAGAAATAACTCAATTGCTTCACTTTCCTGTTAAAATCTGACAGCCCACTTAGCGTTGTGATTTCTGGAAACAAATTCCATTTGAAAGTGTAGAATATTGCCACTGAAAATTTGCACTGATCTCATTTTGTATTCCTTGAGATGTTGGAAATGCAAGCCACTGTCCAATTTAGAGCAGCCAAATGCAGGACTGTTCAAGGAGGCTTTTTTTTACCTTGCATCCTATTGGAGGTGCTGGAGGGAAAAGGGGATCATGGTGAAAATAACTTTAATGTTTGGGAAAACGTGTGTGGAATTTTTCATCTACTGACCAGGAAAGGTGACAGTGTTCTAATGCTTTGGTTAGCATGATGCTATCATGGTAGACATATCTTAAAAGTGAAAGAGTTTGCTTTGTCAGTGTTGGTGCTGTCCTTGGAAAATTAGTTGTCATAATATGATTAACCTCCTGCTGGTGTGACTCAGCTCAGTGGGAATTGTTATTTTCTTTTGGAAAAGAATCCAGCTAAATCCTTTTTTACTAGTAGGTTCAAACCTGGCCTCCAGAACTGCTGGTACTGTTTCTGCACAAGTGGTTTTTCAACTTCTGCTTCATTCACGTGTGAGTTTTGCAGGATGTGAGAATTTGCCTGTGCAGCCTTGGCTGCTGTGATGAAGCAGGTCAGCAAGTTCCCAGGGCACAGTGCAGGGTACCCCAGCCCAGAAGGAACAAAATGAAATAATAACAGGTGAAGACAAAGCTCCCTGCTCCTTGCAGTTAAGCATCACTGGCAATTTAAAGAGGAGGTTGCTAAGTATTTGGCATAAGCTTTTCCCTTTCAGAGGGTAGTTCTCCTTGCAGCACAACTTCTGTCCTGGCTTTCTCTACCAGCAAGTCTCCCACTACATCCATAGCCCTGGTGATGCCAACAAGCAGCAAGTGCCACTGGGGGTTGGCATGTCCTGCACCGGACAAGAAGCAGCCAGTAGGATGAGCCAGCAGCAGGGGGCTGAGCTCCTCTGTTAAACAGTTCCCCTGGCGGAAGGGAAAGTCTTTCTCTTGTCTTTCTTAGCAACTATAAAACAAACACTGGAATTATTTCGTTTATCTGGATTAGAAACATACAGCTGGTGTGTTTTTATTTCAGTTCATAATCTTGCAGAGTAGTGGCATTTTTGTTTATCAGACCCTTAAAATCAGCTAATTTCATCTTCCCCCATGCCCCTTCATTCACTAAGTGTCTCATTAATGACAATTTTTACCATTCAGTAGTTAAACCAACTGCTTTGCAGGCACAGCAGGGCACTGCACTGTTTGGCCTGGCTGCTCTGCTCTTGCTTTGCACATAAGAACAAATATATTTCTGACAACAATGTGAGCAGAAAGAAGAGCAGGTTATTTTTACTGCATCCCAGAAGCTGGATGTTTTTTGCCAGGGTCACTGTTGGGTGTGTTTCCACTGAAGTCAGTGGGACTTCTCTGTTTTGTTTGTTGTTGTGTGTGCACACGTGAGTTTCCAGGCTTGATCCCATCCTGTTTGTGGCTTTACTAAATGTTAGATGGTGCTTTGATTTGTTTGGGTGCAGTTGCCTCGTGCTTGGTTTTTTTTTGTCAGGATACATGTTGCTACCAAGTGTTTGGTCGTTTCCACTTGTTGAGGCTCCCAAAGGAAATTGCCATCACATTTCACACTAATGGTCCTAAACAGCTGGTTTGGTAGAAGATACTGCAAGCAGGTGGTGGAATAGATTTTTTTTAGGTGTCCAAATTTCCTAAAGCAATGCTGTGGCCCTCCATCTTCTGTTTGCTTCTTTCATTCATCTGTGTGGCTTATACTTGAAGTCTAAGATTGTTTTGACCATCTTTGTTCTGGTTTTGTCATCATCCTTCATTTTCAGGCTGCATTATTTTTATTTATAGGCTAAGCAATACTTTAATCATCTGTGTCACTGTTAACTTATGAATATGGAGCAGGTAATGATAAATGGAGCAACAGGGAATATTGATGGCTTTGTGTCTTGGAAAAATTATGTGATCTTTGTCCCAGGTGCCCCTCTAAAACTGGGGTGTTCCTGTATATACCTCACCAAGTGCATCTGGACTTCAGTGGGGGGCTGTGCCTCCAGTCAGACCAGGCTTCATGTCTGTCTTAAATCATCTGAGTCATTACAGTGAAGTCAATTGGACCTTGTATGCACATAAATCCAGGTACTTTCTTGAAAACCTAGCAGCATTAGCTCTTCTTTAGCTGCAAGGTTTTCCTCTCAGATTTCTTCATTGGCATTCAGGTCTGGCCTGCTGATAGATCCATGTGCCTGCAGATGGATTGCAAAGGTCAGATCACACAGATCTGAGGGAGAAGAAGCTTCTCTACAGTGAGAACACCACAAAAGTATTACTTTGCCATATCAAACTGTGGCACGGAAGGTAGCCAATCAATACAGATTTTTGGGACTGCAAGGACCAGTTGTTTCATTATCTACATCAGATCCATCAATATTCTGATCACTAAAGGGTGATAAATGGAAAGCTTGGGCTCGGGCTGTAGAAAACTAGTGCTGGTTCTGCTGTTTGCTGTAGGGAATTTCTTGCTTGGTGCTGGTATCTGAAATTTTCTTTTAATTTTTTCTGTCTCATTTCCTGCTCTTCCCTTGGAGAAGAAGGGGTACACACGGAGGAACTGGACAGTGAACTAGGTAAATCATCCATCTCTTGTTTTGATGTTTGACCTCAACTGCACTGTTTGAAGCCTTTAATTACTTACTTTCTCCTTTGTATCATTTTGCATCTTTCAGTTTTTGTTTGTTTGTTTTTTATTTCAACAAGCCTGATTTATCAGCAAAACTCCCCTAGAGCAGATGGCATTTTTTCCCCCTAGTTTCAGTTCTGCAGTGTTTTCTTACTGGTTCAGAGTTTGAAGAGAGCTGGAGAGCCTTAATCTTAAAAAAGTTTGTTCCAAATGGCTTCCTCCTGGACCCTGCAGAAGTCAGGGGCTTTTCCATTGGCATCACTGGCCACAGGAAAAAGCTCACAGATGCCAAAGTTGAAATCAAGTAGCTGCTGATGCTTTTTCATTGGAGCCAAAGACATTTCCCAGACAAGAGAAGCAAAGTGTGATTTAGAAAGTGTAAGTACCACATAGGTTGCTTCTGCTGGGCTTGTGAATGGAACAGCTGAAAATTTTGCCTCGGTAGGTGATTCTATAAACAGATGATTTTCAATGATGTGGTGCACTTCTGCTTGCTGCCTGCTTTTTGTGAAGAATGCTGCTGGATATCTAATCTCAGCAGTGCTCATTCTGTTTATACTGCTGGTGGAGGTAGTTGTTATTTCTGTTCAGCTATGCTCTAGTGCACTTGGAAGGCTGAAAGGCATGAGAGCTTGAGTAGGATTTTATTTCCACTAGGTCTATTATTGCTTTTAAAGAGGACTGTATTTACAGTTTATAGTTCTGCATACTGAAGGGTTGTATTACCAGAGAATTAACCTCTGGTTTCTGTAATGACTTGCAAGTGTATTCCTGCTTCTGTCTGACTGATATGGCATCAGCTGCTCAGTCAGCAGCCATCCAGTGAGCTCTTAACACTACTCCAGGAACTATTCTTCTGAATAATATGCCTGGAATAATGTTGGAGGCCTAACTTCTTTTACAGCAAGTATTTGAAAGAAATGACAGTTTAAAGAAGAATGCAGTCCTGTTAGCATTATGTGCAGCTTGTACAAATAATCAGCAGCAGACCAAGTAACAGCAGAAGCAGGTGGATACACACCAACAACCTGCAGCACTTTCTCATTAAGGCCTTCACAAAGGATGAAGCAAAATAAGACAGAGTTTTAAAAGCAGTCATGAAATGGAAATGTTCCCTTATTTCAGTCTGATAGCAAGGTCCAGTGCAAGAGAAGAGCTGAAAAAAGAAGTGCAGGGAAACTCATTCATTGCTAAGCTCGACCCCAGTTCTGCAGGCACTTGGGTGCACAAGTGTCCTGGTTGCATATGGTGAGATGTTCCCTTTGCTTTGATGCAGATAATCTTTTTTGAGCTCACAGCCCATTGATGTACTGCTGAGATGTGCAAAAGTTGTGGTGGATAGAAGGACATTTTCAAATGGCTCAGTTTGTCACAGCAATGCTGGAGGGGGCACGAGAACATACAGCCCATTCACTAACTGATGAGTATAAAGTGGTTGTGGCCAGATATTTAGCTCCTTCCTTTATTAGGAGCTTCTTTTCTAAATATGAGGAAACTAGAAATTGAAGCAGTTGCACAACTTCTTGTTCCTCAAGGAATTGGATTGAATATGGAGTAATTTGTCACGTCTCTTACCAGAGGATTAAAGAAAGGACACAAAAACTTAATCTCTGAGAAGAATTTGACATATACTTGGGCAGATGCTCCTGGACTCACCAGTAGCACTAAGAGCTGAGGATTTCCAGTCATCTCCAGCTCCTTTATAGTGGTGCATAGGTATGACTAAAATCCCTGGTGGTTGAGGCAGTTCATTGTTAGGAATCCATCCATCCCCTCTGTAGGGCTGGATACTGAACAAGAGCATCTCAGTAGAAATCCAGGTATTTACCCTGTGCTTGAAGGTGTAAAACTGGGTATTTGTCCATAGAATTTACCTGCTGACAAATGCTCTGAGACCACAGTGCTGCATGGATGTACCAAGATATGGCTTATTCAGACTCCTTACGATGCAAAATGGTTTGGGAAGTCTAATATTTGTGATAAAATCTAATTCTCTGGGTGATCTACAGTTTGGCAGGAGAGGTAGAGAAGGGAGATGAGTAATTTCAAGCTGCTAAGAAGCCAGACTCTGCAACATGGCCAAAAAATGCTGCCTTTTGCTTTAGAGAAATTTCAGAGGCTTTTACAAGTTGGAAAGCCCATCCATGTAATCAACAAATACTTGTTGAAAGCTGCAGGTTTGTGCATTGTCACTTCTGAAAACATAGGAATATGTTCCTTAAATGGAAAGCTGCAGAGATAAAAAAACTGGCAGGATTTTGGCAAAATACCATTTTGGTGGTTCAAAGGGTGCTGGTTTTCTGACCTTCCATTAAAATTCTTTAAAAGCAAAGCAACCATAACATTTAAGACCAAAACTTTTTGTTGACAAAAGAAAAGCAAAACCTTTTGGTTTGAGCATTGAAAGTCATGGCTACATAGTCTTCCAAAAATAGAGAAAAGATATTTAGCAGGGAAAAAACTGTGGAAAGCTCATTTTAAGGTTTTTATACATTACTTCTCCCTTCCCCCTTTTTTTTCTTTTTTGGGTCTTCCACTCCAGTTTCTTCTCTTTACCATTCTAGTCCCACCATAGTGCAAAGAATGAAATGGCTGCCACAACATGTGATTTTCCTGGTTGTATGCTAGGTTATAATTTAATTACACTGAAAATCTTCAAGCTAGTCCCACAGTGTTATCACCCTATGGGACTCCTTTGCAAACCTGAGAGTTCCCTTTGAAAATAGATTTTTCAAGGTTGGCCTCAAGCTTTCTAACTTTTTTTTCTCACATACACTTGCATGGTGTGCAGGAATATCTGTTCCTAAAATGTTCATTTCAGGTGGATCTGCTGATAAAATGGTGGAGTATTTTCATGCCCAAAAGTTAGCACTGGCTTGCATTTAATTGCTTATGTCTCAAGGAATCCAAAGATATTAAACCCACTAAGGATAAAATAATAAGAATGGAAAACCTGCCTTGCATCTGCAAATAAGGGGTATGTGGAGCAAAATCCATGACAATTGATTGCATCTGATCTCCAGCCAATTCTGAACACAAACATAAACTTTGAGTAATTAGTCTGTGTGTGTCTGTATAGATTCTGCTCATCTCCAGCCTGGAGATGTTTCTATCCTTGTGGCAACATAGCTGAAGTCTATAAAAGCAGAACTAGATAGTTAATTCTAATAAATGGGCCATTGTTGATTGTATTGGCTCAGCAATTTATTTCATTAATAACAGTAAATCTTTGCATTTGATAATAAATTATTTGCTATCAGCCTTGCCAATTTAGTGATAATTTTTGAGGAATTGTTGCATATTTTAACTTTTTTTGTCTGACAATGGCTTTTTAATTAATATTAATTTTATTTAAATGAATGTGCAGAGTCTGTGGGGCAAGGACCACACTTGCAGAGTCCTTAGAGAGGTGGAACTTTCTTTCAAGTTGATTCACACTGTTACCCAGACATACCACTCTATTGGTAATAGGAGGATAATTTCAGTACCCACAGCCAACAGGAAAATGGGGTTTAACTGAGTGGGACAAGGATCAGGCCCTTAAGTAACACATACAGCTTTGATAACCCTCCACTGGATGCTGAAGTGATTTAATTACATTCACTAATTATAGCTGGAGCACCCTAGAAAATCAACAGGAACAAAAGTGGATACATCTCCAAATGGTAATTTCATCCTCAGAATGTGGTGGGGGTTTTTTGCTAGTTATGCTCATTACAAAAGGAAATCTCTGATACATGTGATTATGGCCATGTGTGTTTTTGCAGTAAGTGCTGTGCAGTGGGATCCATCTGAGGGTGGCAGCCCCACTTGGCTGGGTTCCATGTGCCTGGTGCTTGTGGTGACCTCGCTTGGTCCTGGTTCAGGGTGCACTTTAGTGCTGGGCTCATGGAGGAGTGATGCAGTGCAAATCCCTAAGAGAGCAGTAAACCAGAACTTTTTCAGCAGTGGTGAGCAGGGATGGCTTGGCCCTGGCACAGAGATGCTGTTAGAGCTCTACAGTTCCTTGCCAGGACCTCACCCAAATCCATATGCTGGTGGTAAAATGCTCTGGCCTCTCACATGGTGCCTCCATCCAGAGCCATGATGGTCAAACCAGAAGGGTACTTGAGGCACTCCTAGAAAGAAATCCATTTAATGCAAAAAAACCAAAGGCAATCTAAAATTGACTGGCATGGGTCACTGATTGGCTAACCTAGCCCTAGTGGGACAGGCTGTGGTGTTGGTGCTGTGCTGTGCCAGCCTTTGAAAGGAGCCTGGGCTTGGTCTGGAAAGTGTTCAAAGTCTGAGCTACTGGTGAGTTTTGCATGCTGAGAAGGACCTGTCAGAAGCAACTTCATTAGAGGTTCCAGTAATGCTTTTTCTATTTCCAGAGTTACCTGCTGGTTGGGAGAAAATTGAGGATCCCGTATATGGTGTCTACTATGTAGAGTAAGTGCTGCTCTCCAGTTCTGGTGTGGCTGTCATGCAGAAGAAGCCTTTCCTCTGCAGTGGTCTGTGTGCTTTGCTGGTAGCATCTTATGGCAAGGAGGAGGAAACCCTGGCCCCTTTGCACATCGTGGGATACCCTGGGGTGGGAGTGGGAGACAGGAGCAGCCTGGGTGAGGTCCACAGTTGAGCTCAGGTGAGACAGGAGCACAGGGTGTGAAGGAGCACCTCACAAAACACTTTTCTCCAGAGGAGGACATTTTAAAGAGGAATGTACAGAAGAGCGTACAATTAACTGAGCTCAATCCCTTTTGTATAGTGCTGTGGTCAAAATAAGAATGTGCAAAGCTGACCAGCAATTTGGTTCCAAGTCAGAAGACATTCAAAAGGAGGAATGAATGAGCCTGTGGGACCAAACAGCCACAGCAGAGGTTCATCCATCAGGCTGTGTTGTTGTGACTAGAATTACAGGTTTAATGGGTCTCTCTCTGGAATTAGAACAGCTTCTTCTTTATCTAGATGTCAGATAGCTCCCTTGGGAAACTAGAGATCAGAGTTTCCTTTCATCACTGACCCTATACAATGAATTTTTAATTATGTGTATACTGCTGTCTAGTAGGATGGCTTCTGATAGCCCTTAGAATAGACATGAAGTACAGTTTCTGTCTGCTTTGGCTCATTTCTGACCTTACCATCTGTGTCTAGGGAAACAAGGTTAGCAAACTGGGTAATTAAGGCTTTATTTACATACATTTATTTACCAAAGGCATCAAGAATATTTTTCAGCTATTAAATGTATGCTAAGAAGTCTTTCCAGCATTTTTTCCTGTCATTTTATATATATATATGCATATATGTATATGCATATATCTATATATGTCCCCATTAGTTTTGTGACTCTCCTGATGGATGAAATTAAATAGAAAAGTGGCAGCAATGAGACATAAGTTTGCTTTACTTACTATTTATAAGCTAGCAAGATGTTTATAATTTCAGCATTTGTCCCTTCCAATTTAGGCACTCAATTATTGCATAACAGTTTTTATTGAAAAACAAAGGTATAATGAAAAGGTTGATATCACTTCTAAAGTAGTTATCACTCTTTCTTAACTTTCTGAAGGTATCTTCAGATTGGAAATCTTTTATGGAACTCATGAGTTTGTTTTTATTTGATTTGTTAAATATTTTCCCAGTGATTACATACTGATTTTTAGCAGAAAAAAAAATCTAAATGTAACTATCTAGAATGCTTCTGTCTTAATGACTTAAAAAAAAGTGGTTATTCATTCAGGGAGCTTTTTTGTAAAGAAAAATGGGATGAGAGACGATACAGTAGGAAGTTCTTAATTGTAAAGTTTGCTTTGGTATAAAGATGGGCTTTAAACTAGGAAAATTTTCTGAGGTCAACCTGCTCCCTTGGTGTAGCAAAATGACTGTTGAAAAATTGCCATTGAATGGAAGGATGGATGAGCAGCTCCTCTCAGCTGTAGCTGCAGAGGTGCCTGCCCCCAGCACCCTGGCATCTGTGTCTGGTGGTCATCCTTTGGTTTCATAGAATGGTCATTTCTCTGCAGAGTGTATTATTGTTTGTTTGCTATGTTTAGGGCCAAGCTGTGAATTTTTTCCCCTTTTCCTAAGACTGGTAAGAAGTTTTAGCTCTAAACATCTCATGCAGGTCAAAATTGCCTCATGGCCCTTCAAGGAGGTTTCACCAAACCTGAATTTCCACTGGGGGTATTTCCTGGTGGCTAATTCTGAATGTATTTTGATCCATTCAGAGCTCAGGTTTTCAGCTCACAGCCTGCATCCCACAGCTATTTTTAAGGCCCTTTGTTCATAGGGAGCATTGATCAGATGGCTGACAGATGTTCCCAGTTGTTGGGTTTTGGGTTGGGTTTTTTTAACTTCAGTGAGCCAGGGAATGACTGCACCTCTGGGAATCTGATTAAAGCAGGGATGATAAAGACCTGTGTTTTTAAAACACAATCAGACAGAGAGCCCCTTTTCTGCTTTAATTTCATTTTCCACAGATAGATCACTAATGTATTGGAAGGAATTAGCCATCCCTACTCAAGACATCATATCGATGCTGAAATCCTCTTGTTTTCCTAAATAGGCTTTTTGGCACGACTAGGTGAGCCTTGCTCCACATCCTGTTGGGCTTGTTTGGTACTTTACTCCTTTTCTCAGAGGAGGTTCATCCCTGGCTGTCAATCCTACTTGTCACATGAAGGGTTTCCTAATGGATTGCTCTCTTTCATCTGCAGCCACATCAACCGGAAGACACAATATGAAAACCCCGTTCTTGAAGCGAAGAGGAAGAAACAGCTTGAGCAACAGCAACAGCCACCAGAAGGTTGGCACACTGAGGGTGTGATGGCTGGGGTTTTCACGAGGGAATGTGCCCTCCCTCACCTTGACAGCACTATGACAACGTGCTTGTCCTTCCTTTTGTGGCCTCAGTATTAGAAGGCAAAGCATCACGCGTAGGAAAAGTTGCATCTGCCCTTCACATAAGATGCAGCAAAGGAGAAAATCTGAACCATGTGACACTTAAACGTAGTAGGTTTCACCCCTTCAATAGGGAGAGATTTTTCTGTGAAGGTTCTTTATTTCTGGCAAGTGTCTAGGCTTCCCAGAAACAACTAAAACACACGTGTTCCTCTTCAATCTGCTCCATCTAGGTACTCACTGCGCTGGGTGTTCCAGTCTGCGCTGGGTGTTCCAGTCTGCACTGGGACTCACAGGCCATCCGAGGGGATGAGGAGTGTGAGGGGTGGGCATTGACATGTGCACTAGGGAAACCTCTCTGCATGAGAGACTTTTAACCCAAGACCTTTGGATGTTGTCGAGCTCTACCATCTGAAAGCAATTCCATTATTTTGGAACCGTTTTTAAAATGTTCCTTTCCACCCCATTTTTTTAAAAGGTTATTTTCTTTAAATGCAGCCCAACTGTGTGTCTGTGTGTGGGGGGGTGCTGTTGTTTTGGGGTTTCGTTTGGTACCTTTGTAGCTTTCACACCAAATTATTTTAGAAGAGTTATTAGCCAAGGGAAAAAGAAGTTAGGTTTCAACATTCCTTCTGCAGCCCCATTGCCCACAACATCAGCTCTTCTCCTCAGGTGCCACGAGGGTCATGGGGAATACATTTCATCTAAAGATTGAGACCACTCAGGTGCAAATCTAGCCCCAAGTTTGAGCGTGAGGTGGGGGATCCCAGCAGATGGATTAGTTGACCTGAACATAGAGAATCCTCCAGAATTGTTTTTTGAACATCCCATTGGTTTTATTCCCTCTCTCTGTGACTCTTTCTCCTCTCTTGCCTTTCTTCTCATGTCTCCTCTGCTTGAACCCCACACTCCCACTGTGTGTATGTGCAGGAGCTCATAGTGCTGTTGTGAAACCAGTAACATTTCCCTCTCTGCCCTCTCTAGAATGGACAGAGGAGTGTCCATCTCTCCCACCACCCGCTGCTCCAAACCATGTTTCAAACAACCAGGAGGCAGTTCGGGAAGCACCAGTGCAAGGTAATAACCTTGTTAAGCCAGTTGTAAAAGTGCAACAAGGTTTTGAGAGTTAAACTCCCTCAGCAACCAGCAAAGGGAGTATTTCCATGACTAGTCACACACCGGGGCACTTGCCTGCTAATCTGAATTCCTATAGATTTTGAGACTAGTTGTTTGGTGACTGCAGTTGTTGCCAAATGCAAGAAGCAAATAAGATCACCTGTAACAAAAAAAAACAGGATGTTCTCTGTGTAACATTCTATGTCTTGGCATGGTGAAAAGGTACAGCATTGGTGGGATTTATCAGTGGATACAAGTCAAGTAGAACACCCTTTTCTACGGAGCTGTACATAAGGATGAAGCTTTTACACCTTCTAAAGTCTGCTGAGTTTGGAATGTGGCTCTTATGATGAGATCTAGTGCAGAGATTTCTGTCTGTTCTCATAGGTCAACGTCCCCTCCCAAAAAGCAGTGCAAAAATCTCACTGTGTTGCACAGTGATTAAGGCACTTAAGTGATTGAGAGCAAAAGCCAGTATCAGCCAGGGTCTGCATTCATCAGCAGGTACAGTTTTAGGTCAAAGTAGTTTAGAAGTTCTGGAAACTGGTCAGTGATGTTAATGAGTTATCAGCACTCTTTGGCAGCACCTTGGTGTTGGAGAGCTTGGTTATTCCATCATATTTCTAAAAATTCTGAGTTGATGATGCTCCTCTGGGCAGCTCTGCATGAGGAGGGAATGGTAATAGGTCCAAATACTGCAGACCTCCTTGGAAGTTGTATGCAAGTACTTTGGGCTATTACAGCTTTATTTCTTAGTGTCAATGGTCTGTGTTTAGCCAACGGCTCACAGACCAGTTGTTGTCTTAAATAACTAACCAGACAGGGTATGAATCATTCCTGAATTTGCAGTGTGAGCTGAAACTTTGCCAGATAAGGTTGCCAGCAAGGGTTCCCCTTCTACCTGTTGCAGTACAAGTGCTCTGTGGTTACAGGTGGTTTTAAGTAGGCTTCATCTTTGACTACATCTGAACTGCATAGCTAGCAAATGGCATTGCCCTGGGCTGCAGGAACCAGGGGCTGGAGAAGGTGAGAGGGCAATTTAGGAGCATCTCATCCTGACAGAGCTGGAACAGAGAAATTCTCCCATGCTCTGCAGAGCAGCTGTGGTCTTTCCAAAGGTGAGCCTGGCAAGGGTGCTGCTGTCCCAGCCTTCTTTTCCTGCCATGAAGAGCCAGGGAGTGCTCTCTGCTGCAGGTGGCAGCAGGTCAGCTCTTCCAAAACAAATGTGCAAAGTGGAACAGTATCCAAAGCCCCCACGACAGGTGTTAGAGTACATGAGAGTAATCAAAACTCACAGCCAGGAAAAATGTGGGAGGTCTGGGGGTGGTTGGTACCCAAACCACCAGGCATCTGGGTGAAGCATCTCATCAGAGTGCCTCAAAACAGCTGGGATTCCTTGGGGAGACACCTGGGAATGCCACCTCTGCCTTGCGCAGTGCCAGGCTGAAGTGAGGGCTGCCCAAGCACCCCTGCCTGGGGGTGCAAAGGACCTGTCTCACAGGGGATGGCATCAGGAGCCTTACTTGGCTCCACCCACTGCCAGCCACAGAGTTGGGCAGTAACATTACAGGAGCACATTAGCTTGTCTCAGCACCACTCTGAGTGACATGTCCTGGTACCCACTGATGTCTTCACCTCTCTCTCATTCCTTCCTCTTCCTGTCTCAGTGCTGCTCCCTCTTCTCTCTCTCCCCATTTGCAGCAGCTGTTTTCAGCTTCCCTGTGCCCTCACCCTGTACTCAGGGGTTTCCAACTCTGCCACTGATGGCACTGCTGGTGGGGACATGAGCACAAGGACCCCTCTCCCAACTGGAGTTTTGTAGATACACTCATTTGAAATATGATCCCCTCCCAAATGATGTAGGTGGGACATAGCCTGTGGTGCTGCTATCCTGCTGCTACAGGGCAAGTTCACCCTGTGTTTGCAGGCAGACACCAGCAAGCTGGGCTTGTTCTGCTTGTCTTGGGAACCAGAAATCAGCAGAGGACCAAACCCCCCTGCACGTTGCCTCTCAGCTGTGTTTGCTACCTGAGACATTGGGCTGCACTTTGATAGTGAAGGCTTTTTAGCAGCTCAGAGGCTGAGCAGAGCATCTGCCCACAACTTGCAGGTTTGCTGTGCTCCAGTGCTACCCTTCAAAGGCAGAAGGCTGCAAGGCCTCACACTGCCCCCTCATGAATAATCTGCAAATACATATTCTTTTTTTTTTTCCTTCAGTCAAAGGCTTACAAGTCTCAAATCTCCTCTCTCTCCCTTGGGGTCTCCTTTCTGAACAGAGCCCCACGGCAATACTGCTGGCATTTTTGTAGAGTACAGCAGCTCTCCTGGCTGTGATACACACTGCTGATCCTGGAGCTGTCACCAGAGGGCTTAGTGGCACAGTCTTTTCCCCTCTAAGCATTAAAAACAATTGAAAGTGCAAAGGTGTTTAGTGTTGGCACTGTGCAGTACAACAGCTGTGGCTCCTTTTCCAAGCCTGGGCAACACGCTTTGCAAGGAAGTGCTTTTGTCTTTGGAGCACCTTGTTCCCTCTTAACCGTGCTCCCAGGGAGCATTAACAACCCTCCAGCACAGCTGCTCTGGTCCCAGGCAGCTTTTTGATCCATACTTCACAACAGCAGTGTTTCATCCCCAACAGGCAAGGAGCAGAAAAGAAAGAGAAAGACTTCAAAACAGTGTCTGAAGAGCAACACCTTCCCTTTCTCAGCAGAGGAGGTGCCAGGGTGGTAGAGATGGTGAGGCAAGGAGGGTTGTGCTAAAGTGGGGGTTGACTCAGTGGGTTGGTAGAAAGCCAAGGGGTGAAAAGCAATGATATTCCTTGCTGCAGAAATTCTTGCTGCAGACTCCTTCTGGAGGAGTCATTTGTTGTGCCCTTCCTGGGGTGGATGTCAGCACCTCCGGACAGAGATAAGACACAGATCTAAGGAGCATTGCCAGCTTTAAGATACTCCATTCCTTAAAGCATCCAGGTTTTCTCCTTTGTAGCCTGGGGGCTTTGGTGTGCACAACCACAGGTAACAAAGCACCAGGCACTCTTTTTCCTGTGTGATTGGATCAAGGGAGACTAGAGTGGAGAGCAATGAGGTGAGAGGAGGCTGGAGTGAAGTTCACTCCTGTCCCAGCCCACTGCTGTTTGTCCACGTGCTTCTCAGAGCAGGGAGGGGCAGAGGAAAAAAAACAGATCAAACACTTTTGCCTGCCTGTTTATCAATTTTCCTAACTTCCTACACAGGAAAACCTTTTTTTACACGAAACCCTTCTGAGTTGAAAGGGAAGTTCATCCACACCAAGCTAAGGAAAAGCAGCAGGGGTTTTGGCTTCACCGTCGTTGGAGGGGATGAACCAGATGAATTTCTCCAAATCAAAAGTTTGGTGCTTGATGGCCCTGCAGCACTGGATGGCAAAATGGAAACAGGTACCAATGCTTTAAATCAAAATCACCACCACCTCTTTGATTTGTTTTCACAGAGGGTTTGATGTGGAGTGCAGAAAGAACTTTAGTCCTTATCCCCTCTTTGGGGAAAGGCATTCAGCTTTCCCATCAGCAGGGAAATGAGATACATTGAGAGATATGTTCAAAATCTTGTAGAGGAAGGCACTTCACATGCTGGAAAATCACTTTAGGTCTCAAAATATCAAGCTGGAGCTCTGCCAGCTCCTGCTCTTCGCACTCTGACCTGTGGAGAGGAGCCAGCAGTGGTAGGGATTCCTTTGTGAACATCATGCATCAGGCTGCATGTTGCTGCTCCCCTGTGACACAAGTGTGGCTGTAGTAATTTTTATAGGGCTCCAGTATTTTTGTAGGACTGTAGTATTTTTGCAGGGCTGCATCACTATGTGTCTTTGTATCTGCCATGCTGCTCACCCCCTCTCCAAAGCTGCTCTCAGGGAATGGGCAGAGGAGTGGGCTGCTTACATTTCCCTGTGTGGAGGCACCAAGGGCCAATTTGTTTTGCCTGAGATGGGGCCCAGCATGATGAAATCCAGTGAGGATTCACTTGAGGTCACAACTCCTCGCAGCACAGCATTAAATACCTCTGCAGTGCAAACCCAGTGTTCAAAAATTAACCATAACTGAATTGATACCTAGATTTCAGGATAAAGTGTGTTTGAGACACGACAGGTGGCACTGTATTTGAGCAGCTGGTATTTGAGAGCCTCCTGTTACAGCTCTCGTGTGCTCTCAGTTTTGTTTCTATCTGTCAGTGGAGCAGAGTGTGTGACAGTGAGAGCCGGGCTTCGAAATAACTGTTAAATGGCCCATAGACCATCACTTGAATGGATTAATTTTTTGCATGAGCCAATTCCATTTTCACTTTCAAAAACATTTATGTACATAAAGGCTTCACGCAGAACACCTTGTGTACAGGTAGTTCTTGCTTGCCCAACTGTCACCTCTCCTTTTCCTGGCAAAGATCCTTTGATGCTGCACTTTACCTGAGCGGCACCTGTGGATGCTCTAGGCCTCACCTTCCAGGCTGCACAGCAACGGTTGTGTTTGGTGTGTGTCTGTGTCCTCTGCAGGGGACGTCATAGTCAGTGTGAACGACACCTGTGTGCTGGGACACACTCACGCTCAAGTCGTAAAGATCTTCCAGTCCATCCCCATCGGTGCCAGCGTCGACCTGGAGCTGTGCCGCGGGTACCCCCTGCCCTTCGATCCCGACGACCCCAACACCAGCCTGGTTACCTCCGTGGCCATTTTGGACAAAGAGCCCATCATTGTGAACGGGCAGGAGAATTACGACTCCCCGGCGAGCCACAGTAGTAAAACAGGGAAAGTCAATGGCACAAAGGAAGCGAGGCCCAGCAGCCCAGCTGAGGTCTCCTCCGGCGGACCCCACGGTTACCCCAATGACACCGTCTCTCTGGCGTCTTCGATAGCGACGCAGCCCGAACTCATCACTGTGCACATAGTGAAAGGGCCGATGGGCTTTGGGTTTACTATTGCAGACAGTCCTGGTGGGGGTGGCCAGAGAGTGAAACAAATCGTGGACAGCCCGCGGTGCCGCGGCCTGAAGGAGGGCGATCTTATCGTGGAAGTCAACAAGAAGAACGTGCAGAGCCTCACTCACAACCAGGTGGTGGATATGCTGATTGAATGTCCGAAGGGAAGCGAAGTCACGTTGCTCGTGCAGCGAGGAGGTGAGTCTCCCAGAACTGCTTTGAAACTTTCCTTCTTGAAATCAGGAAGAACGTCTTTGCTGTGAGAGTGCCAGAGCCCTGGGCCAGGCTGCCCAGAGAGGCTGTGGAGTCTCCTTCTCTGGAGACATTCCAACCCCCCTGGCCACGTTCCTGTGTGATGTGCTCTGGGTGACCCTGCTCTGGCAGGGGGGTTGGGCTGGGTGATCTTTTGAGGTCCCTTCCAAACCCTAGGATTCTGGGATTCTGTGATTTTTTTTAAAAAAATGCACATCATGAAAAAAAAAGGCTCTCCTAAGCTTTTCTGGAGAAATGGCTTATGTCCTTGAGGTGTACGAAGTGCCCCAAATTAGCAGCGGTCACACCACAGAGGTGGTTATTGTTTGGAGCTGCACTGGGGGGAACGTGCATGTAGATGCCACGTTCACATACATGACACACCTCTGGTAAAGCACAGATGGGTAGTAAGGTTGCGAGTATGGTTACAGTTTTGCTTACAGAACAAACCCTGATCTCGTGTTTGTTAAACTTAATTATTTTAAATGGAACATCATCATTTCTGGAGCCATTTTGGGAGGTGGAAGAGGCTGGTGTTACATTCTGTAATTTGCAGTGTTCACAATCAGCCATGCAATGGCTCTTCGCTGGGGAAGGGTCACACCTGACATACAGTTAGGACTGGAAGAGAGAATATAAACTTCTCTACATTGTAAGCAATCGAAATGTTACTTCTGGACATGTTTATTTGCTGTGTAATCGGGACCTGAGCTCGTTTTTGGTTGCGTTGCTGCAGAGCCACCAGCAGGTACAAAACACATCCTACAGGCAGTATGTCTGCAGCCCATGGGGGAGCCTGGTGGGGAGGAAACTGGGCAATGGCATCAGTCCATCCACAAAAACTCTTTC